TTGTATTTGCATGCATCATGATTATGTGTGTATGCTATTAGCATGTCTGCTGTGCTGCTTATCTTAGCTGCAATTGCTGCTGCTGCTGGTGCTGCTGCTGTTGCTGCTGCTGCTGCAGGGGTACTCTCCCTTTGCTGCTGCTGCTGGAGTGTCTGTACACCCTACGCTGCAGCATAAGACAAAATCGTTTACGAGGGAATCGTTATGTATTAACAAAGATACAAGCAACAGGTAACCATTGGTCATGTGCTACATTTGCTGCTGGTCCTGCTGCTGCTGCTGCTGCTGCTGCAGCTGCAGCTGCAACCGGTGGGGGATTGATTCATGCTGGTGCTGCTGCTGCAGCAGCAGCAGATGATGAAGCAGCAGCAGCAGCAGCAAATGATGGTAATATTATTCGTCAAGGAGATCTGCTGCTGCTCATACCTGAGCGTCCTTTCTTTAAGGTTGATCAACCTGCTGCTGCTGCTGCTGCAGCAGCAGCAGGAGGTGCAGCAGCAGCAGCAGCAGCAGCAGCAGGAAGAAACAAACAAGAAGCAGCAAGCAGCTGGTGTGGTAAAATTATTGACGAACGGACAGCCAGACCTCGCAATGGATACACTATTGGTTAGTTTTGCTGCTGCTGCTGCTGCTGCTGCTGTGGCTTCCCGTGCTGCTGCTGTTTGTGTTGTTGCTGTTGCTGCTGCTGCATCGTCTGCAGCAGCAGCAGCAGCAGCAGTTGTTGTTGTTGGTGCTGTTCTCTAGGTTTGCGCCTGCTGCTCTCTGGGGTACAGTTTGACTTCGTTGCTGGTGTGGCCTTCTGCTGTTGCTGCTGCTGCTGCATTTGCTGCTGCTGCTGCTGCTGCTGCTGCTGCTGCTGCAGGAGTGGTGGAGTCTTGGGGCAGCCACGAGCAGAGACAAGAGGGAATAGTTGTGCGATTGCTGCTTGGTGCTTCTGTTGCTATTGCTGTTGAACCTCAAAGGGTATGTACTCTTGCTGCTGCTGCTGCTGCTGTTGCACTTGCAGCCTGCTGCTGCTGCTGCTGCTGCGGCTGCTGCTGCCCCTGTTCCTCGTTACCCAGCACATGCTGCTACTTGCCCTCAGCTTGTTATTACCGTTATCCTTCCTCATTAATAAGTATCTCCTCTGTGCGCGTTGCTGCTGCTGCTGCTACTATTGCTGCTGCTGTTGCTTCTGCTGCTGCTGCTGCTGCTGCTGTTGCTGCTGCTGCTGCAGATAAACTCCGTTAGATTGGATCTAAATAGCAGCTGGTGGTTATTTCCTTTATATAGTCTTACTCCTTTGCTAAGGGAGTTGCAAGCCCCATACCTCTGCATGCATTGTCCCTTTATTAATACTATTCTTAATCCATTTAATTTGCTGCAGCAGCAGCAGCAACTCATGCTGCAGATGCACCCTCACCTGCAACAGCAGCAGCAACAGCAGCAGCAACAGCAGCAGCAGCAGGGGATTGTGGTGCAGCGGCAGCAGAAACTTGGAGGGAGTAGTTCCTCTCTTGGGTTTAGATCTGCTGCTGATGCTGCTGCTGCATATCCTGCTGCTGCTCGGTTGCTGCAGCAGCAGCAGCGGCAGCATCTGCCGCTGCAACAACTGCAGAACATAATAAAAAGCTATAAACTGAATCCGTCACAAGTAAGCCAGACCCCGCTGCTGCTGCTGCTGCTGCTGCTGCTGCTGCTGCTGCTGCTCTGCTTATGCCCGTGCTTCTGCTACCTATACCGTTGCTGCTGCTGCTGCTCCTGTTGCTGCTGCTGCAGGCTGCTGCAGTGAAGGGTTTACTAGAGAGTACTGCCCCTATAGGTATAGTCCAAGGACCACCAGGGACAGGGAAGACATTAACACTGCATGCATTATTAGCAGCAGCATATGGTCAGCTGCAGCAGCAGCAAGCAATAGGTATAAATTATCGTAATTCAGAAGCAACAGCAGCAGCAGCAGCAGCAGCAGCAGCACAAGGATGCAAAAAAATACTTATATGCGCTCCCTCTAATGCTGCTGTTGATGAAGTTGCAGAAAGAATTCTTAAATTTGGTCTTGTAGATCCATTTACTAAACAAATAAGGAGACCTGTCTGTCTAAGAATAGGTACGGTTTAGGGTTTAGGGTTTAGGGTTTAGGGTTTAGGGTTTCTTTAGGGTTTAGGGTTTTAGGGTTGAAGGGTTTTTGATGGGGTTCATTTTAAGGGGTTATATGTAGGGGTTAGGGTTTATTGTTTATATCTAAAAGTTTTAGGGTTTAGGGTTTAGGGTTTAGGGTTTAGGGTTTAGGGTTTAGGGTTTAGGGTTTAGGGTTTGTGTGTATAATTAGGTCACCCTGATAGGATGCGTCCTTCTGTCCGTGTAATAAGTTACGATCTATTATTTTATAAGCAGCAGCAGCAGCAGCAGCAAGCAATAAGACAGCAGTATGACGAGGAAACAAAGTTGCTGCTGCAGCGTAAGGAGAAGGTGCAGCAAAAGATTAATGAGATAGAGAAGCAGCAGCAGCAGCTGCAGCAGC